TCCAGGAATCCTTAAAGGATGTTGGTAGTTCAGGGTCGGGGTAGGGGCACATAGTAATACCAAAAATTAATTTATCAAATCTTTTGTATATTTTGTACACAAAAGAGGAGGACAGATCTTTTGCAACATCTCTGACGTTTTCGATGAAAAACAAACTAATGTTTAGGGTTCATTATTTATCCTCCCTTCCCCCGAAAAAGAATGAAACACGCACAAACAAATTTTAACTTCGAATTCATTTAATGTGAGGACGCTACATAAAATTTACCACTGACAGAAAAATACACCTTTATCTATCAAGAATTTTAATATAAGAAGCCACTCAATTTAACATAGAACTTAATAACCAGTGTTACATAGAGATGTTTACCCGAGCTTGCAGAAAATGTTTGCTTAAATCGTAACCTTTAGAATATTCTTCATTTTAATTTGCTTATACATGTACATACCGTTCACGGTAGCTCAGTCGGTAGAGCGCTCGCTCCGTGATCGGGAGGTCGTGAGTTCGTATCTCTGCCGCGACTGACCTAGTCGTTAAAATTGGTAGCAACTGTTCCTTCGCCATGCGCTCGGCACTTTGAAGTGAAAGTTGCGGATCCTTCGGATGAGATCTTAAAAACCGAAGCCCCGTGTCAGCGGCAGGCGTTGGCACGATAAAGATCCCTTATTGCTCAATGGCCCTGAGTGCCGAGTAAAGGTCAAAATTTGAAGCCCTTCACCGGCATACGGTGACGTCTCCATATGAGTGAAAACTTTTCGAGAGGGACGTTAAACAATATACAATCAATACATCAGTCTTACATGTACAATGGTTCATTTATAAAACAAGAGGCCCACGGGCCTTATAGGTCACCTGAGTATCATGTAACAACTTTCCAGCGATTGTATTTGACTCGTGTTTTAATCCAAAAGCCACGAAATTCACAAATTTGGAAGGAGGCACCATTGCTTATCAAAGGGCAGATTTCAAAGCATTAATTAATTTTTAGTCAAAGAACCCCCCTGGTACCCCTGACCCAGCAGCCCTGAAATTATCTATTTTGAAAGAGGCCCCTTTCTTCAGTATAAGGCCAGCATTTTTTTTTATGTTCAGGTTTAGTTATGAACATGAGAATAAATAGTTCCGAAGGAGAAGGAAATAATTTTTTTTTGATAAATCAATTATTAACATTTGTACATTCTTTTTTATGCTATTCTAATAGGCTCCTTACCACTGGACACATAATGCTTACAAATAGAAAAGTATAACATTTAATTGCTTATTTAATCATCTGCCACTTTGGGCCAGTTATATGAATTTTGTGATGTTGGTCAAAATATATTTTTAAAAAATCAATTTTTTAAAAGTCTTCAAATATATTCTTTTAATATGTGATAGGTGAATGTGTAGACATTGTTCTAAAATTTACTGCTTGATGCCTGAAATTATAATTCCTATCATAAAACAGACAGGGAGTATTGGGGAGTAGGGTGAACATTTTTTCAATTAAGTGTAAAATAATTTTTCTGGCTGATACAAATGATACTACATGCCTGTATATATTTGTATATTCTTGCCTTTTAATCATGTTAATAGTTGATTTTTTTTTATTTCTTCAGGTTATTGTTTATTTCTTCCTCAAATTGACTTAATTCTCCCATAGTTTTATTCATAACATCTGATGCATAAGCAACCCTTTTCTGAAGAATGATGCTTAGACTGTAAACTATAACAGAGACCTAAGCAATGTTGCTGGCAATATGCAATAGCTACCATGGGCAGTTTAAAACCTTGGGGAGGAAAATAATTTACAGACAGATACTTTTGAAACGAATACATAATTATCTCACCAACATGTCACTGAAGTCGTCAGCATTTTATTTGTCCTTTGAACGGGTGAAACGTTTTGAAAGAAACTCGTATCGCTGAATTTTACACTAAACCAAGCTATCTTCTCAGATCTAGCTTTATTTACCCGCCGTTTCATCTTAAAACCGGAAGTGCGAGTTCGTTAATTTAAAATCTCGATCCCGACTCAAATTTGACATCGGAAAGAATTTTTTAAAATTTTTTTCTGAAAATTCAAAACCTTGAGTGGAGGGTTTGTAAAACTGAAAATAAAATAAACCCTGGCCTTAAATATGTAATTAGATCAATAGTATATTAACCAGGAGCAAAGAATAAGATGTTCAAAGAAATCATGCATTTCACTATATAATCATTAGAGCCCCGCCCTAAAACAAGAACCCCTGACCCTGAGGCCATAAAATTCACAATTTTCGTAGAGGCATTCTTGCTTATCATAACTATGTACTTAATTAGTTTATTTAATACCCAGGAGCAGAGAAGAAGATTTTCAAAGAATTCATGTATTTTCACTATATAATCAATAGAGCCCCGCCCTAACACCAGAACCCCTAACCATGGGGCCATAAAATTCACAATTTTGGTAGAGGCACTCTTGCTCATCATAATTATGAGCTTATCTAGTGTATCTAATACCAAGGAGCAGAGAAAAATATTTTCAAAGAAATAATGCATTTTCACTACCTACGTATTTAGCCCCTCCCTAGCACTAGAACCCCTGACCCCAGGGCCATGCATTTCACAATTTTGGTAGAAAACGTATTGCTGATTACAATCATGCAAACAGTTTGACTGCTTGATGTCCAGGAGTAAAGTAGAAGATTCTTAAAGATTGCATTAATTTTAGTGGTTTTGGCCCCACTCCTCAGGCCCCAGGGGAGCAGGGATCATGAAATTCACAATTTTTGTTCCCCTTCACCCATAGATCCTTTGTGCCAAATTTGGGTGAAATTGGTTCAGTGGTTGCAGAGAAGAAGCTGAAAATGTTCAAATGTTAACGCACGACAGACGACGCACGACGCACGACGACGGACGAAAACGGATAGCACCTGAGTTTACTCAGGTGACCTAAAAAGATATATTTGCCCCAAACTTCTTTCAAGACATAACATTACGACTGTAGAAATGTTCATTGAAACCTCCACACTTATCACTTCTGTAATGTAATAAATGTAGTGATACCAAAATAGAACTGAAAGATGTTAGAGTTGTAACTTAACCCTCGCCTTCCCGAACTAAACAAATGCCTTCTTTTTTCGCATGTCAAATTCTTTGATGGTAAGTTTAGTCCCCCTTTTCAAATTCGATTCTATGCAACTGCTACGACAGCGATATTCGTGAATGAAAGATTGATCATGACTGAATCACTTTGTGTTTTATAATGGGAACTGAATACATATAAGATATATCGTTCATGATAAAATTGACGTATTTTTAGTAATTTATTTTAAAATAATATATTCTGTTTTCCATTTGTTCTGCTTTCCGTTCCGCGTTTTGGCAACATCCTAAATGAATGACATTAATTGCAATGCAGTGCAAAGGTTACCTAGTATGAACGTCGTACAAGGATATTTGTACTCAAAAGAGAGCTGAACGATTTTTAAAGTTCGTAAAATGTATTGCAGAAGACTTCGTGTTTGTTTTGCGAATATGAGACTGTACTAAACGTGTTTGATGCACATGTAATCTTACAACGTCTTACTATAATTGCCTATTTATCAGCCTCAATTTCCAATGCTTTGCTACTAATATACAATGTTTTCTACAATTCCACTACATCAACTGAAGAGCGTCGGGAACCGGGGACATATATATCCCCTGTGACTCGGACGCACAATCGTACCATGGAATACATAAAAGCATGAGTTCTGCGCATCCAGTCGCATGGGCGCACGTTTTATGAATATTGTGTAGCTTCTGCTCCTGTGCCAATTGCAGAAGGTCCTTGAGCAATCTTTGTGTGAAATAGAAAATCCCAGCATTCCAACATTATCCTCCATATTAAAAAAGATAAGAACTGGAATTACTCTACTGAGGTTATAAATGTTTCTAGATTACAAAATGTAGAAATTATATCTTTATATAAGCTCAAAATATGTCTGAATACGTGTACATATTCATTTTTTTATTTAAAATAAATATGAAAAAAGCATACACACAAGCTAAGATTTTAAGTAAATTAAATATAATTATTAACATATTCAGTTAGGGTTCTAATACGGAGTCATACAAGGTGTGAAATGGAAATCCGTATTGGGCGAGGCGAATCAGAGTCCCAATATGGATTTCCATTTGACACCCTGTATGACTACGTACGTATTATGTGTTACGAATTTATCCCACTGAAGACCTTTTTAAATATTATAAAAATGTATGCTCATATTATGAAAATATCAAGTTTTTATCCAAAACAATCAACATGAAATATTGTAACAAGAAATTTAACTAAACTGCCTATACAAATAGCCCTTTCCTAGACGCCAATTTTATTCAATAACAACGTTTCGAACAGAATCGCAAGGCGTCATTTAATAAGCCTTTAAACAATCAGTAATCTACATTTTTTTTCTGAAGCGAGATAAGAAAATATATACATTGATTATATTTATTTACATTGAAGATAATTTCCTATATACAATAAATTTGAAATCTGCAAAATTCAACTCTACGTAACACATATCTTATTCATATGTTAAAACAAAATACAATTCCAGCAAAAAAATATGTGTAGAACAAAGAGAAAAGTATCGAATCTATTAGACAATAAAAACTGTGAATAAGAAATAATAATAAAGAACACCAATAATTCTAAAGGGGTAACATATATTGTATCATTGCGATTGTCTTAATAACAAATTAAAGTAGACCTCGATATTGACCGAAACTGGAAAATAAAAGATCGAAAACTTTTAGTAGATAACCATTTCATTTCAATGAACTCAATAATCAATAATACTTCACGCATATATAGTTATTTTTCTTTGGATTATGTATTTATCAGGTTTTTCAAGCTCTACAAGTTTAGTTTAAAGCTTCCTCGCACATAGCAACTAAGTAGATGTTTCACCATCTTTCAAGACGCAAAAGCTTATTACATTGGGAATTTAAACACAAAATGATGCAAATAATCACATTTCCATAATTGTTTGCCAAAAGGGATATTGTTTTTGATAGTTAACTGTCATTTACATCATAAAAATGTAATGCTCTAAAATTATTATTTGATTTCAAAGCAATAAAACAATTTTTAGACAGAAATAAATTGATACAGCTGCATAGGATAGGCTTACACTTCTTTGGTATTGCATATATTTTAACGTTCATCAGGTTGGTTGTCAGAGAATGTAATGACAGTAATTTTTGTACCATCATTTTCCAGATAAACCATTTCATTTTTGACAGAGGAATGCGAACAATTTAATTCCTCAGGTAGAAGTGGTCGAGCATGATATTTTTGTCCGAAAAAGTTAGCACCTTTTGCAACTGCTAGCTCTGGTTCCTCAGGAAAATAAGGTATTATCCCTTCAAATTTTACCCGAAAAAAAGACTCCAAATAATCTCGTATGTATGGCACTTTGGTGAGTCCCCCGCAAATGCAAACATTTGAAATGTCACTTCCCTTTGTAAGTTTGCAGATTTTTTCTATAATATCAACTAAAGTAGGTTCAAAGACCCTATGCAGTAAATCCGTAATAATGTACAGTTTATTTCTCTCGATCCGAATCAGACCAGAGAATTTTCCCTTCTGGAGGGCTTCACTTAGATTTTCCCTGGTCTTCTCAAACAAAAACGAGTGGAGATTAGCTGGTAAAGTTATGCATAACTCCTCACTTTCAGCATTGGGTTTGCCTTTTCCAGAAATATTTGATTTTATATCTTCAAATTGGTGTTGAATATCAAGGCATTCAGTCGGGTAACGCGAACAGAATTCTTCAAAATCTCGAAAAATTTCTTGCATAAACTTTGAAAATTGTTCATCGATTTTCTGTCCACCTAAGGCTTCTGTTGTCTTCATTTCTTTTTTGGCAGTGTTAAAAATCGTAATATTTGTGCTGCCTCCTGAAATAAGAAACAAAAGGATAATTGACCATGAAGGCCACCTGAGCATCTAGAATTTTCTAAGACAAATAATATCTGCAACATGTCGAACGGTAACTTTTAACTATTGTGACATAATGTCGCAATGAATCCATGACCAGAATCATCAATGTCAAATCAGGATGCTAAAGGGAGAAGAAATTACTTTCAATATATGAATATGATAGTTTCTTGAATCACCTATTCCATACTCCCATTGATGCATATGCATTGTTATATAAGTTAAGCTATGCCATGTTAATATAAATAAAGGACAAGATTAGCTAAGTCTCCTTTTTGGCCCCTACTTTGAGGTGTCTCTGCGAACAATTTATCACGAGACACCTTAAGTGTCACTGCTCTTACGACATTGGTATTGAACCTAAGCCATGGAATTCATAAAGGGCACCGTAAGGTCACAGAATATGTCATTTTTTTGAATTTCCGCAATTTTATGCATATTTTCATCACATTTATTGTATATTTTCTTTTGGAGAACACATAGCACAAGCTTGCCTATCCGCAGAATTTAATATTCCATGCATTTATATCAGATGCATCCTAACAATCTCAAGAAGGCAACCTGTACTTAATGTTTTCTAAAGATTTAACATAATTCCCTCAAAATTGTCAAAAACCTAAAAAAATGTCTTTCTATGCTTTTTTTGTTGCCCCCATGACATATGTTTATCAAATTAGTAGTGGTTTTAAACAAGTAACATTTAGAGCGCGTAACTTTAAGTTATCAAAATTTCATTTTGATAAAACACACTAAAGTTAATTAACGCTTACTTTATACAGTTAACAAAATTATGAAAGTTTACTATAGTAAATCAAAGCGTTTTTACTATATGAATATCAGATGTTGTATTTTATTTTATAAAATTCATACATGCACATTTTATACTGAATAGAAGTATAACATGTATATTCATAATTTATTTCTTAATTGTACATTACTTTGTTAAAGTTTAAGATATTGTAGCAATACTTTAGCCGACCTTTATGCATTGCCATTAATCTAAAAAGTCATGGTTTTCACGACATTATTCGAGAGTTACCTTATCATTATCACCTCTAGAATATTAAAGGCCCTTATTTACCGTATATACTCGCCTATAAGTCGGTATTTTATAAGTTAAATATAGGTCTAAAACTCTATGTCCGACTTATAGGCGAGTCATAAAGTGATTGGTATTTTTCTGGAGGCTGAAATGTAGTATTTACGTTTCTGATGATAATGGAAGAAAATGTCTGAATATATATGATGATTTATTATGTATTCTTAGAGTACTCAAAGTACAAATATTTATAAATTTTAATAATTAATATTATTCGTATTTTAAGTTAGCACGACTTCATGTTTTATGATTGAAGATTATATATCAGAATAATTTCGAAAAATATTAATTGGATCCGTTCAAACAACACTAGAATTACTTGAAATTGTCGCCCGATTTTGGCAAAAATTTGTACCGACTTATAAGCGGGTCAATAGCAAATTACACCAAAATATCGTCAAACTATACAACCGACTTATAGGCGGACCGACTTATAGGCGAGTATATACGGTAACCGTGTTTAAAACTCGTTCTTTAGCTCAATCATTATTCGTTATCGCTACCTTGTTCTCCTCACGTGCATGCATTTATTCAAATAGTTAGTAATACTGTAACATCACATATTTTCTTTGGGTCAATTTTTTGTGGTTTGAGTAAAACCTCTTGGATCGTAGGGATTCGAATTTTCGGATGAAGATTTTTTTAGTTGTTATGTATGTGACATTTTACATGTCGTGGTGGACATGAATTCGTAGGTCTTTTGATTCACTGAAAGCAATGAAAATGAAACTCCCATGAAAATTTGTGATTTGACAGTAAATGATAAAAACTCTTTAAAATTTTTGGATATTTTAATTAGAACAATATTTTGAAAATTATTTGATATTTCTACCAAAGGATCTAAATGGCTTCAAAGATGTATGTTAAATGACTTCTTAAGCACCACATTGGTATGCATGAAATTCGGATAGACAGGGTATGTATTTTGCAAATTATTATACAGTGAGTATTTGAATACATAACAATACCAACTGAAGCAGCCTATATGTAAATCATATCCTATATATTTTTGTGTCAAATGCATTTGAAATATATAGAAGTCGTGATATTATACAGAAAATATAAACTTCAAATCTAAGTTTACGTCCTATATTACTAAATAAACTCAACTTTTTATGAAATAATCAAAATGTATATATAAAAAGATATAGTCTTTTTTTTATAATTCAAAGTACCTGTAAATCTATCTACAAAATATATTTACCATGTGTGCAACTTAAAAATTAGTTTAAAGGCCTATACTGTACTGAACTATGTGCTCATTAGAAAAAAAAGTGCTAAACTTTCTTTCTAGCCATTGAACATGTGATAGGGATTTTGCCGAATCTACTAGTGTTTTTTTACATACACTGTTTTTACCAAAATTTGTCATACAGTCTTACTTAAACATGCGTAAATACAAATCAAACATTAATGGTTTTTTCAATATTAAAAGTCCCTTCATATAATTAAAAATGAAAATCATCCAGTTTGTTTGAAATATGTGGTAAATATTGAAGTATCCACTTAATGATAACAAACTGTTGGCAAAGATAACTTTTAAGAGCCTGTCTACGAGAAAACCATGCAGATATATAGAAAAATGCTCTGGTAGGCACTCTCAAGAACAAACTAATTTTTATTATTAACTTTAAGGGCACCCATTGAGAGTCAGAAATATGTTGTTTATTTTTGCATCGGTTGTTTCTATTTTTAGTAACAGCCAATAATTCATTTTGGTCAATATTCAAGGGAAAATGCAAAAAAGTTGGTGTAAAAATGACAATTTCAATATTTAAACGTAAAAAAGAAAAAAACAATATATAAATAAAAGGGCAATGTTTTCTCATAGAACTAAGTCGTAAAATTAAGTTGGAATCAATTTTTTTTGTAAAACCCCTATATAGAAGGCTGTCCCGAGGGCACAAATATTGGCATGGTGCCAAGAAATGATGATGGTTCATTTTTTGTTAATATTCAGGGATACATTTTTTAGAAAGTGACGCTTCTTTTTTCAGAATTTTGTGCATTTAAGAATCTCTAGGATATTATCCCAACAATATGTAAAATCCACCTTTGGACTCTCAAGGACAGAAAAGTTATATCGTAATGAAATTACCTCAAATTCAAATGATGGAAAAATTTATGATTTTATAAGTTTTACTTTTAACAGTAATTTTAATGAATTTTGTGTAAAATATTTACAAATATAAACAACGAACATTATTTTTAATTTTATAAAAGCTATAAATATTTTTTTTCCCTGCTTTTCTAGTGAAAAAAAACGTATTTTACTATTTATTTAGATTTTGTTAGAATTATCTCCCCTGTTGCGCTCTTCTGTAGAGAAGGTAGATAATGATTATGTTTACGAAGTCATCTATTCGTTTAAGGCCTACAGATAGATCTATATGTGATTTGAAGAAAATTGTCCTTTCCTGTGAATGTAATTTGTTACGTATATGTACTAGGCCTAGTGGACTATGAATAAAATACATGAAAAATATATGAAATCCATCGGGATCGATATACGGTTCCGTAACCACGTGTAAACATTATGGCATCCTGCGAAGTTTGTGGAGTTGTACGTCCTCAGAAAAAGATTCAGGTGCGTGAATTGTCAACGAGTCTTCAGATTCTGGCTCTGATTTTGATGAATATGATTCTGACAGCGAACATTCATTTGGTAGCGAGACGGATGTAGTGATGATGGTCCCGTCATGATGATACCGAATCAACAATGTTTGAATTTGAAAACGAAATAGGTAGTTGGATCTTGGTTTATAATACTATGTACCTTATAAAAAGGCTTACTGAGATGTAAAAAATAAATAAATAAACAATTTTGGTTGGTACTTGATTATGTACAAGAGAGATTTTTTAAAAGACAATATCAGGTCTGGTACAATCACTAGATAATTTAGCTACGTAGCTTGATTTACCTACTTAGTTAGCTTTATTTACCTACCTTTAAGTAGCTTTATTAGCTTTATTGAGCTCTGTACCAAAGTAATTTTTTTCTATAAAAAAATTCTACCTACGTAGCTAAATCTAGTGATTGTACTGGACCTGAATATATACCTAGCAAACCTGTCAAGAGAAATTTCAAGGTTGGTACATGTACATGTAGCAACAAAAATATCTGTATAAATTCAACAATATTGCAAAATATTCACATCTGCAGAATTATAAATATCATAAGTAGTTTTTGTGGGTGATGAAGAGGGAATGAAAAGTTGAATAGGTCCAGGGTTTTCAATTTAATTAGACTGTTTTCTAATAGGGTACAATAAGAATTGGATAGATGGTTCTTCACTGTCAACTAAATCACCATTATTGCCACATATGTGGGATGCACGATTATAAAGAATCTCATTTAACAAAATATTTTTTTCACATATTTATGAGATGTTATGAAGATGGCTACATTTAAGATTTTCTGCTTTATGGAACAGTAGAATATTCTTTATGAGAGATCACAATTATCAGAAAAAAAAGTTGTTGTCAAATACTTGTGCAGACTGCAGACTTATTAAAGGTCACTATGTGTTCCTTGACAGGTTTGTGTTTAAAACAACTAATATTATAAATATAAGTCTGGGAAATTATACTTTGTATAGAATATTTCATTTCATTCTTATATTTCTTGTGCAATTTCAGATTATTCAAATTCATTTCCCTGGTTAGGGCAGGGCTTTACAATGGGATTTTCAGCTGTGGAGCTATCAAGAATTACTACATGGGTTTCCAATGTAGTTTTGTGAATAGAATCCAGAAATAAGAAGAGGAGAGACAATGCAGCATAAGCATTACCAATTACTTGCCACTGATGAGAAAATGGTAAAGATATGTTATACTATAGTACATGTATAGGAATTGCCTTGTCTGTCTGTCGATTTGCCACATGCATTTTTCCCTATTCTGTTACTTTACTTCAAGGATATATGAAGCTCTTGTTTTCTTCAAAGTTAGCCAGAAGAATTTTTGAAGAATCTTACCCAAGTCATTTGATGACATTTTCTTCAATTGGAAAATATCAATATAACATTATCATAAACATGACATTTATTTTTAAAATCTTAGAATATGTCTAGTATGGTTTATTTCAATTTAATTTGAAAGCTGTCCTTTTTCACAGGTACATGCTTTGAGTACTACTTTTGTGTATTTGGAGACATTCCAGTTCTTCTTTAAACCAGGAGTGGAAATTTCAGTGCTTGTTCAATTTCTCCAGAAGTTATTGGATGCCAAATAGGAAGAAAATGGGGTCATACTGAACAGAATAATTTGGATACACCTTATAGAATTTGAAAGCTTGAGACCTCAAGACCAACCCAAATGGTGTACCAAACATGAAGAAAAAAAGACAGTTTATGATTGAAGAATCTTGTGTAGAAGCCAAAATTTCAGGGTATTTCATGTATGTTAACTTAAACGATTTTATTGGTACATGTACTTAAACATTGTATCTTGATATTTAATAATTTTATGTATCAGGTTTCATTTGCAGGAATACACAAAAATTCAGAGTAAATTTTAAGTGTTTGTTATGTTTGAAAAGATCAAAGTTCAAGGCCAACAGTGCTTTAGTTTTACCAAATATAACACTATTATAAAGACTAATTGCCTGTATATAGGTATAGCAAATAATTCAGAATATGATTTGGGAAAATGTGATTTTTTCTTTTAAATCTTATCTTAATTTAGAATCATTATGTAAACTTAAGTAAGTAGATTTTTTTCATGCATACAAAATTTCAAGGTCATTTTAATTTTGGAAGTGAATATAAAATATCAGGAAGCAGTCAAGCATTGCAATTTTTTTGTTGTTGAATGTACTTAGTTATTGAGTAATATTCAAATTTTAATCTGCAATGAAATTAAAAATTATAAATGTGCTAATTTGTTGATTTTTAAAACTTGGTGTTCATTCATTTTGAGTTTGTTGCCATGACAATATGTCTGTCAAGAAAATGGCTGTGATATTTCTTTTTTTTTCAGTTTGACCCTTGACCTTTGACATTGTGACCTCAAAATCTAAAGGGGTCCTCTACTTTTTAGGAAACCAGTGTACTAAATTTGATGTCTGTCAAGCAATGGGTCCTCAAGATTTTGAATGATTAAAATCTACATACTGGTATATGGGGAATTATAACCCTTGACCTTTGACCTTGTGAACTCCAAATTAAAAGGGGCCATCTACTTATTAGTAGGTACCAGTGCACTATGTTTATTATCTATCAAGCAAATGTTTTGTTTTTTTTTAAAATAAGAGAGAATACACTTGGTCTACTGATTGACAAACAGGTACTAAGCAGTATGTGAATATCACCCTGCTCAAAGAAAATGTAAAATAATACAATTCTGGTAAACCCCCCCCCCAAATTAACCCCATTTAACCCCCTAAGAAATAATTATTGATTGAAAACAAAAATGTACAATATAATGGTATTTTTTAACATCAAAATTTAAATTTTTGAAAATATTTAAATCAGCAAAATAACTCCTTGCTGAAGTTCAGGGATGAGAAAATTTGAAAATTCACAAATAAATGCCCAACTTCAAGTAAAAAGTACAGCAAAATATTTGAGAGTCCAAAGACAGATTTTTTATATAATGTAGACAGATATGTTGTCTAATAATTGGTATGAGATTGAGTTGATTCTAGCGTCACTTTCTGAGTTATAGGTTTTTGAAAAGTGAATATTTTCACCAGTTTTCAAAAATCTGGAAATATGCCAGATTTGTGACCTTTTTGCACTTAAACGAGGGCACAGTTTGTGATTATGAAAAATTTTCCGAAACATGTTTTTCTTGTTACTTTCAACCATATATGGATATTTTATTTCATTATCAAGTAAAATGCTGAATATTTAAATATAAAATCCTATAAAATTCATGTTTTCACCCCTGCATTAGGACCAAGAATTCTATTTTTAGTAACAGTGTTGATTTAACCCCTTAAGTGAGACCACACTGAAAAAAATTTTGTGGCAAAATGTTTCATATTATAGAAGAAATTTACACACAAAACATGAAGTTGATCCGAGAACCTTGCTCCCATAACCTCTTGCATGGTTTTCTCGTAGACATGCTCTTAAAGTAGAAAAAAAAAATAATTACTCCCATCGACTTCGTTGGTGCATTGGTACATTTCTGATTGCTGGGCTGCAAATATGGTGATTGCGAGTTCGAGTCCTAAATTTTTCCATTTTTGCCTTTAAAAAAAATCTTTACGTATCTTTGCTACTTTGTTTTTAAAATTATATCATATAATATTCATAATTTCAAAAAATTATATTATACACATTACAAAAAGTATTTCGGGAAAAGACAGTCATAAGCTATGCCATTAGAGTGTGCAGATTCATAGATTCTTGTTTTTTTTTGCCCCCCCCCCTCTTGAAAAGTAGGATTGTATGTAGTATCGGTATGTTTGTCTGTCTGTCTGTACGTCCATCCGTCTGTTCATTCGTCCGTCTGTCTGTAACGCTTTTTGATCGACACATATTCAGGGATTTCGACCTCAAAACATTGACACTGCAATTTTTTTTCTATAATATCTTACACCAACGAATAAAATTGAATGATATTTTTACAGATTCTTTATTACATAATCGCATTGTGACCTCCTACTTTACTTTTTGATCCAAAACTTATTTTGGGTCTCCAAGAGCAAAATATTTACTTTGTGATCATACTCATATTGGAGTCAGAGGGATATCATTTAGTGAGCTTGTAGCATACAGTATCTCTAGTTTTTAATGTTATAATTCTAAATTTTTGGTTTCAAAATTATAGTATTGAACAAGTAACGTGATTGTAATTTGACATACTTGCGCTATAAATCTTCAAATCACATAACATAATTGGATCATAAATTCAAAAGATGCAGTATATCTATAAATAGAAACCGGTGATTTTCTTTTAAATCCTTGAATTGGCTGTGTTGTCGTTAGGGTAGCTATGAATCTATACCCCCCCCCCCCCTCGTTCAAATCATAAGCCCAAGACTAATGAATTGCAGTATTTTTGGCAAATAAATGAACTTATTGTTTGTATTACAAGGAATCTGACTGCTTGGTATACTGAAGTAAAGAATATAGAATATTCTTACAGACTGCATTCATATTGATGATATTGGACAGAACAAATTAAGTATCAAAAAATCATAAACCATAATATCAAAAGTTTGGTTTTTCTTTACACAAGGATAATACATGTAAATACCAATAAGGGCTGAATCAGACTTAAATTTCCTAAGAAATTGAAATTAGTTTTAAGTAAGGTACTGATATGACGCATGATAGACAAGAAAAGGCATCTTTACGTTATCCAATTAACGTACATAATTTTAATCAAAAGCTAGAAAAATATTCATTCTTTATGAATTAGAAATACCTGTATATACATGTATATACATTTTAAAGAAATTAATATATTTTGTTTCAGCAAGACCAATATACATTACTTTCTTTAACGTTTTATTTGAAATGCATACAATAATAAAACATCATTTGTGATTTATGTAAGATGTTTGTTTTTTCTCACTTTCAAAGAATCAAATAGACAGGAAAAGATTAATGCCTGATTTCTTTTTAAAATAAGCTGAAATTATTTATCGCTTTATCAATAACTACATGGTATACGTCTCTAAACAAAAGGCCCATAAGCCACATCGCTCACTTGAGAATATTGACAAAGTTTTTTAAAAAGACTGTTCTTATTTATTTCTGTGCAAAAGATTTTAAAAAGATGCCATTAATTTTTACTTTATCATATTTAACCCCCCCCCCCTCTTGGAAGAGGAGGTGGCCCTTTATTTAAAAAAAAAAACTCGAATCCCCTTTACCCGTGGCAAGTTTGGTTGAAATTTGCCCAGTGGTTTTTCAGAAGAAGATGAAAATGAGAAAAGTTTACAACAACGATAACGACAACGACAGGCAACGGACAAATTTTGATCAGAAAAGCTCACTGAATGCATCGACTCAGGTGAGTTAAAAATTAAAAGACCTCTAAGATTTCAACTCTTAGATGTATTGAAGATAAACAAGAACAACAATGAAACCAAGAAAAACTCCTAAACATTGTATTTTAAAAATGATTTGTCTTAGCTTCCTGGATACTGGAAACTTTTTTGAAGAGAATTAAAAGTATGGTATCTAGAATCGGAAAGAAAAGGAGAATGAACCGTCACATTCTTTCCACATTATTTTGTTGAAATGAAATAAAATATAAATACCTCCAATATCCAATATTAAACCGCTATTTGAAGCGATTTTCTGGTTTAATGCAGAGAAATGCATAACAGCCTCTGTTTCTGTTACAACAGTAACGTCATGGATATTAACACCTGCCTGCATGATAAAAAAAAACATACTACATCACAAAAAGTCGATGGACCACGTTGCTCAAGCAAGCATTATGGCATGCAAAAAAATAACAATATGAATGGACCCTACGTACATGTATTTCTTCAGGAGAAGTTGGAAGGGTGATAAGGAATTAATTTAACAAACTCGAATCTATCTGAGGATGCTTCTATTTTCCCTAAATAATGGCTTGAAAATTATGAAAAATTATGAAAAAAAACCTTTTCATGTACGTTTTTTTTTTTATCTATAGACGCCCTGACCTTCCCCTTGGTGTCATAATCTACACTACCTGGTAAGGTTTGTGTATTAATTTGTCTAATCATAGCTTTGCTGTTCTATAGAAGAAAAATGTTGCAGATATTTCCTTTATATTAATCTAGAGAACCCCAAAAAAAGGATTACCCATTGTAGCCGCGCCATACTCATGGTGGTCATAATTTAAGCAAACTGAATTGAACACTACCTGAAGATGCCTCCGTATAAATATTACCACTAAAGATTATGCTGTTCTTAGGAAGATTTCTTTAAAAAATCGTATGCATTCTTTTGTATCCCAACCCTACCGCCGTGTCATAATTTTTCACTACCTTTGGATGCTTCAACGTAAATATGACTTATTATGACTTTGCTGTTCGTGAGAATATTTTTTATACAAGTACTTTCTATTCTTATGGAAAAATTCGATCGCTATTGTGATCCCACCCTACTCCAAGGGGTGAAGATTTGAAAAAAAAACGGGTGTACACTTCCTGAGGATGTTTCAATATAAATATTGACCCTATATTTATGCAAATTGAAAGGACGTCTATTAATTATAAAGATTACAGACAAACCGACAGAATGACAGACGCTGAACAAAATGTGATCAGAAAACTAACGCTAGCCGAAGGCTAAAGTGAATTAAAAAAAATCGTGTTTGTTTTTAAAAATATTGTTTATCTTTAAGAATTAATGATTTTGAAAAGAAGAAGAGGAAGTTTATTTCTAAGTTTATAATATCTATAAATTCATCCCCCCAATGAAGAGAGCAAACCGTACCTGTAATGCAATGTCTGCCAGGAATATGCGTTTCTCTCTTGTGTAATAGGCTGGACATGTGATAACATAAAAAGGAAATTTACATGCATACTTCTTCACTAATTCACTGGCTTTTTCAGTAATTTTTTTCAGAACTTCTTTGTATATCACCGCTGGTGATATATAAGTTCCTTCCTCCGTCTGTTCGGGTCTTTTCTCCTATATAACAGGAAAAAAATAAGCAGTATATATTTCCATTTCTAATTTTTTTTTATCTCTGTGATAACTCCTTGAAAGTTAGCTCAGTTAATTTCTTGTTAATTTTTCCGGAATGTAAATTAGGCAGGTCGATAGGTCAGAATCTAAGGCCTTATATGCCTGCAAATCTCGTGATCAACTGTCTGTCTGACGCTAAGGAGGCGAAATATGCAGATTAACCTCGTTCGGCTTATTTCGTGTTTGACGTCAGTGGGCTAGGTCTTGAGGATTGGGATGGAAGTCCTTGTGTAATTTAAATCAATGTCTATATTTTTAAAGTCTAGATCTGCAATTTTTTTCCTTATGAAATGGAAATATATGTAATTACTGTCTATTTAGTATAATATGCCAAGGATACATCTCTAAATACCAATATTACGAAAACTTGTGTTCCAAAATTGACGTCATCTCGTCTACTATGACGTCATAATGTAACACTGATTTAGTCAAGGTAGAATATTGTTTATGCTTCTTTATTCACCCTGCGAATATTGATTATCAAACTGACCTTGCTTTGGAATATAATTATTTTTGTAACTTGAAGGGAATGACTCATTCAGTTATTGCATCAATAGCAGGATGATACAAACATTTGTTTTTGTAAATAACATTTTTGAAATCTATACCATAAGTTGAAAGACTTAATAAATTTTCTCATTTATCATTTTAAGTCATACGCATGTAGTACTAGTACTATGTTTATACAAGAGGCCCATTAGCCACATGGCTAACCTGAGTACATTTGTACATGGGCTAGATGAAAACACATATCAGCTCAGTATTGTAAAGTTAATTGAGGGGGTGAATTTTATAAATTCCTAGATTTTATCATAAAATTTTATCTTACGATGTTTGATCAAAAAGTTCTCGAAGAAATAAAATAACTTTCACAAAATATATGAAATTAGGTTTCAGTGTTCATTATTTTTTTTAAATAGCCCTCTCTGATTTTAATTCATGTCTGTTATCGTTTTGCCTATGCGCGAATCACGTAATCCAGGTAGTCAGGTGACATGCTCTGAAGCATTCTGTCCATAAACGCTAAGATATTTTTTCGATTTAACCATGCAAGTCAAGTTTTATAATAGGAACAGTCCCTTTGTCATAAGTGATCAATTCTCGGAAAAAAGGGTAGTTAGATAAAGATATCCTTTTCCGGAAGAAAATGGTGACCATCACAACCTCAGTCATAGTTGTAGGTAATTCGTTTTATCATATTTAATATGTTAAAAGTCTGATTTAAACGATATTTTGAGGAATTAATAATAATATTATTGTTAAGATTTTCAATCATTTTTCTAGCTGTAACTTCGAATTTTTTCCTAACGAATTGCCTAACAAAGGACACATCTCTTCCCCAGCTTGCTTCTTGCTGGGCTACAAAACAAACGACATTTTGAACCATCTCCTTCCCTTCACTAAAACAACCAATCCAATTTATGACTTACCGTCTGGAACGTCTATTGACATTATAAACTTTAACAAATTATCATAAAAAAAAACTTCAAAGGAATTTCCGTATTATACGTTAAACCTTACAGATTTTCTTTTCTCTAGTAAGACTTTGGCAGCCATTTTTTGTTACGAGTCACCTATATATTGACGCCATTTTCCCATTGTGACGTCACAATGATGGAGAAAAATCATAAACTTTGCATATGCAATTTATAGAACATGTGCATGACTATAGGTGTGTCAAATTTCATTCTGATCTTAATGGTTTTGTAAATATAGTACTAGTTCGCTAACTTTTTGATCACTCCTCATAGAATGCCACAATATCAAAAGAGCATACATGTATAAATTTGCCGTTTTTGAAAAGAATTTAAAAACAATTCCTCCGTACTGTTTGGAAAATATTGATATTCCAATCACCCCTTCCCCCCCCCCTCCCCCCCCTCTGCTCGATCATGATTTAAAAAGAAATTGAATCTTCACTACATGCCGATGCTTACATGTCAACATGTCAATAACTTTACTGTTCTGGAGAATTTTTTTTGCACCTTTTTATCTTGCAAGTACCCCTTGCATTGACCCAATAAAGGTAACCTAATAAACCAAGGCTTTATATCCGTTCATAGCCCCAATAAAGCCTCGTGCATGTATTCCGACGTTCTAAAAGCATTGTGACGTCATGTATATTGAAATGTTTACGCCTTGGCGTCATAGTTTCAACTGCAGAGATTGTGTATAAATCAGTCGGAAAAAGCTTGTTATGGATGTTCAAATGTAAAATTTTATTGCAGGATAAACAAAACACATGATAAATGTCTTGAAATATAAGCGATATTTGGGCTCGGGTCGAAAACATAAGAGGGCTCGGCAAGCCTCGCCCTCTATCACGTTTTCTTACCCTCGCCCAAATATCGCTTATATTTCAAGACAGTAAACATGTATTTTATATATCCCTGCTGTGGCCACACCCTTACCCAAGGGGTCATGATTTCAACAAATCTGAATCTGAATCATCTGTGGATGCTTCCATTTGTTCCGCAAAACAAAGAAAATTCACTAATCATGGATTTGCTGTTCACCAAATTATTTCGATTTATATTCCTATTATGTATTTTTCATGCAAGACTTGATCCTACATTGTGCCCCTATCAAAATCACAGGAATCACAGGATTTTAACACTAGCTTAGCATGCTTCCTTATAAATATTACCAATCATGGCATAACTGTTCGTTACAATTTAAAAAAAAAAAGATTTCTCACTCTCATTTCTATGCAAAACCATTATGGACCCATCCTACCGCCAGAGGTCATGATTTGAAAAGGTTTGAATCAACATTAAATAAGTGTACTTCTATACATATGTATTAATACTTCCTCCACTTATCATAGCTTTTCTGTTCTTGAGAAGAAGATTTTAAAAAGATCTTTCTTATATCTTTTAAAATATACCATTTTTAGACTATTTTAATCCCCCTTAGAAGAAGAGCTCCACATGAAGATATAATAAAATGGTCAAATTTTAAAACTAATATGTATGATTTATTCTTTTTTTTTCTAAATGATAGTTGACAGCTTAAGATATATCCAAAAAAATTAAGATATATTTGGTGGTTAATTTGTTGACCCCCCCCCCCCCTAGACTCCCTAATGATAATTAACACAATCAAACTTTTCTTTCAGAAATCATTAATATTTCTCTTAGATTTACATTTCAATTGGTCACCTGAATAATGTACAAAGATAATGGGAAAAAATTATAAGATTTTGTCATAATTTAAATTTTTTTGCAAAATTTTGTTTGGAATTATATTGTAAGAAGCAAAACAAAGTCTCATTTCTAAAGGAAAACCAATGATTTCTTTATATTTCAGGGATTTATTATTTACAATGTATGTCATTTCAAATCAAAATCAGTTAAAAATTATACATTAATTAATGCATCATTTTTTTGTTTGTGTTAAGTACCCTTAAAACTCAGATTGCCCATTATGTCACAACCCTACCACGGGGACAATGATATGAACATGCATGAATTAATACTACCTCAAGATGCTAAACTTGCCACCCACAAAGTGTAATATACATGTACTTGTAATATAACTTCAAATAATACATTTTAGCCCCATCCTAAGTTTGGAAAAATGAATTACAGAATCCTGGCATAGGACTGAGTACTTACCTTAAGCATGTTAACAATCTATAATTGAATGTTTAGTACATATATTTAAATAGAAGATGTCTGATTTTTTTATACCCCCGCCCATAGAAACTATGTAATTTACTGTAGATTGGCAAATATTCACTATTGTTTTAATTTCGCTATGTTTGCGATTTATTAGTTTTCCGCGAAATTAAACACATCGTAAATTCTATTATTTGTTTTTAAAGCGTTTAAATGATTCTACGAAAACTTGAATTAATCACTTGCGGCGTGAAATTAAAACCATCACAATTCATATGGAGAAATGACGTGCAGTTTATTCATGAGGTTGCTCCCACGTGATTTACTTCTGATTAATATTCATAAGATCCTGCAAAAACTCAAATTATACCATTTCTGTAATTTTTTAATATAAAAACATGCAAGACTTTTTTATTTGAATTTCTTTAAGCAATCGACATGTTTAAATGGGTAGAATTTAGCGTTATCGTCCGTTAGAAATTAATGATACCGTATGTTTCAATAATATGTAGGTCAGGCGAATGCAAAAATTGCCGGTTTTAAATTTAAAAGGCGGTCGTAACTCTTCATACAATTTTATAACAGCAATATTTTTTAAAAATAGACCTTCGTTTGCACCTATTAATCGGCGGAAGAACTCTGTCATCATGCAATAAACACTTACATTTAATCACCAAAATGATAAAAACACTAATTCAGTTCTCTTTTCTTCATTAAAACAGCGTACTCTCGCTTCGAATTTTCAAATCAAAAAGGCGGTCGCAACTTTCACTTTGGCATCTACATCATTGTTATTTCCGTTAGAGGATATAAAGGAAAAACAAAAGATCGGCGGAAGAACTTTATCCGAAATAGTTAGAATATAAAAATTAGCAATTTTTTGTAAGTTCTCTATATAATCCTTATAGAATCTGCCGCCATTATAGATCCAATATGGCGAATATGTAAATGAGCTGAATGAACACCATTTCTCCATATGTGGTTCTTTTTGAGATATCGTGAAATTTTAACACGGTAGAATTAAAACTGTTTACAGAATCCGTTTGAGATTGATTCAAGCATATTTGAGAAGTAGCTCAACATAATGCTAATGACTTTGGTTGAAAACTCCTATTAACGACTTAGTTGTCACAAGAAGTCACTTGAATGGAGTGCAAAATTAATGCCTTCGAATAAGTTAATGTTGAGTGCAGCAAAAAGGGGGAATTTTCAAAATTGAATTCAATATTTTCATGGAAAATGATAAAAGGATTGTTTTTTTTTTAAATATCGTTTTAACAGCTTAGTAGTCAAAATTGAATGGATTTAAAATAATAAATAATTACCCGGTCTATCAACAGAGGCTTGAAATTTCGAAGAAGAGTCCACTTGTTCTTCTGTGGAATACTTGCAATAACTCTGTAGTCCTTCTCCGCACCCGCACCGATAGACATTAGCTGACCATCTTCGGTATAAAGTGACGCACACTGCTCTTTTATGGTCATTAGAATACTTTCATCTTTCTTCAGGGATACTGCTGCTTTCATTACTGTTGTTCCTATATCAATACTGACGACACTGTCATGCTCTGATAAAAGTAATAAATATATCAGTGATAACACATTTAGAAACAAAAAAAAATCAAGTAACAGTTTTAGTAAGCTTATATTTCAACATCAACTTTTTAAAATGTGAAATCAATTTATAAAAATACAACAAACAAATGATTAAGTAATAAAGATATTTATTTTAATAACTGAAGAAAGTAAAAATTCATGAGCATCATTTTTTTAAAAATGGGTAATTGGAAATAAAACATTTCATTTTCATATGTTCGTGTAAAGAAACATACGTGCTATGCAGATGTAGCTAATCAGGAACATGAGGATATTTCTTATATTAATTTATTATACAATGATTTTACATAACACTTTGTACAAGATATGTAATTAATTTAAATTTTGCTTGGATTTTTTTCGGGAAATGAAAATGAATACAGTTTAATAATCAATAGATATTTGACAATCACGATCAAGGTATTTACGATATATTCAAAATTAAATGTGTTACAACATTTTTAACAATAATGTAAATAAAAGTTAAAAAATCAAAATTCAATGCTTGCTTGTTCACATAAAATTTATCTTTTCTTATGCTTTGGCCAGAGGTTGACAACCCTACTAAGATCTCATAATTGGTGATGATTCCCTTTTAAACAGTCAAGGATAGTTTAATTATCCTGAAGAATCAATTTATAAATTAGATAGAGTAGAAAATAGTACTTAATCAAAAATATTGTGTTCAACTCTTAACTGATTCATTGCTTTCAAAATATGTAAACAGACTTTGACGTCATCTTTAGACTTTTTTGTTTACCGATACCTGCATATTTAGCAATTCTTTGTGTATGATTATGAAAAAAAATCAGTTTAAAATTTTAATGGGAATTGAAGTAGGTTGGTCACGTGATAAAATCCTTTGAAGGCCAAAGACCAATTTCAGAAGAATTGATCAAATACCGACTCACTTCAATTAACATTAAAAATTTCAAACTTATTATTTATTACTTTAAAATACTTTTAGAATTGATAATTGATTTTTTTTTAATATGAATTATTGCTCTAACCCTTCGTCTTTTTTTTTTGTTTTGTTTTGTTTTTTTGTTTTTGTTTGTTTTTTTTTTTTTTTTTTGTTTTTGTTTTGTTTTTTTGTTTTTTTTTCTTTTTTTGCATTTCCTTTTGTGACCAAACCCTAGCAAGGAGGTGATTATTTCAATCCAAAATATATACACTGTAAAATATATCAGAATGCTTACAAATCAGTTTCATTTTTTCTAGTCCAATAGGCCTTGAGGAGATTTCTTCCTGCACATTAATTTCGAATTTCCCAAGTTTTACCCCGACTACGCTTTTATAGCCCCGTGGCTCTTGAAAATAAGACTGTTATAGTAGATTATTGAAAAAAATACCGTTACGTGAAGCTAATTGCTGACAGGTTTCGTCTTCTTCACAGGGAATCTCTTCTTCTACATAACAAAAACATTATTTTATTTTGATTATGGCCTTGAAAATGATGATCATTTTATTAAGACTGAACATATAAATTATTATGAAATGTTTGTTTCATAATAATTTATTTTGATAAATAAAAAGCTTAAATATACTCAATTAAAAAAATTAAGGGTTATGTATATAATACACTGTAGTTAAATTCAGGAAATTTCAATTTTGAAATTTATAATGAATTAGTGTGACGAATCCAAATTATGTGTGGATTTTAATGACGGAAGGCAACGAGTGAGGAGACAGAAGAATATGCGTTTAAGTGGTTGCTGCTTGGCTCAATAAAATCGCTTTAGTGGAGGTTATGTTAAGGTTTGGGGAGGCATTTCTATTCAGGGGTCCACGGAGTTGTACATCATCAGAAATGGACCGGTTTCATGCACACAGATAGGATCCACACAGATAGGATCCTTCTGCCAATTGTGAGAACATTTGCCATTGCAATAGGAACAGAATTCGTTTCAATGGGCCACACAGAGCAAAAATAGTGAATCAATATCTTGAGGCAGAGACTATCTACAGAACGGGGTTGCCCTCTACGTCACCGGACCTCAATCCTATTGAACATGTCTGGGATGTTCTACAGAGGCAAATTCAGCAGCAGTATCCTACCCTATGCAATACCAATTAACCTGAAGTTGCTTTGTTAGAGGAATGGGATTGGATACCGCAATGGACCATGCGTTCACTCATTCAAAGTTTCCCCAGGCGATTCAGGGTTGTTATTCAGGCAAGGCTAGGGTAGACCACACCAAATATTGAGGGTTGTTAGATAATTGACAGTTTTGAATAAAATTATGCAATTACTGTATATGGATAGGAGGGTATCCTTAATAGATAATCTTGTTTTTCTGTCCAAGTGAACATTAACCACCAGTTTTTTTATCAAATGTGTAACAACATAACAGATGATATTATGTAATTTATTTTGATTTAATAAAAACTTTTTTGATGTAGAAATCATAAATGAAGGTTTTCATAACCCTTAACTTGTTTGTTGAATATACTGTACCCCTTCATGCAAAAAGGGTATTTACTATAATAGTTAATAGGTTACCTTCTATGTTATCGGGATATTCGTAACATTAAGTCTCGTTCAAAAGAAAAAAAAATTACAATAGGAGAAAATTAGTGCAGAAAATTACTTCTAATTATAAAACATTTTCTTGAGAGTAGATTCTACAAAAAAAATAATTATTACATCATTATGATATGAACTTTTCATGCATCAAACCAACAAGAAATTTGATAGTTAAAAATACTTTTGGATGCTTTTGTTCTATTGGTAGATAAACATATTCATATATTTACATTATAATCTTGAAACATGATTCTGCTGCTTAAAATAAAAACAATATCAGCAAAAAATAGCAGCGGCAACAATAATAGTAAGAGAAATATTACTAATGAAAAAAGTGATGGTAAAAGTAGAAGTAGTAAAAAGAGATGTTAGGAAAAAGATATATAATTGTCAATTTTGTTTTCATTTATACAAAATATGACGATTTTGTGTTAAGTATTTACTTGCAGTTGCTTTATTCTTTATCATTTCAATCTTGTTTGATGCCGATGTAAACAGATAAATAGGTAAATAATTATAAACCGATTGTTGTAACTCATTCCAGAGTTCTAAATTCCCTTGGTAATTTCAGTGTACCATAGTAAATTTGTGTTCAGATTATATTTTTTCATTGAATGTATTACAAGTATGTGTCTATGAAAAACCTATCAATAAATGTATTTAAAAAAGACAAATGGTGCACTTAAAATGTACTTTGATGCCTGAGTTCTCATTTTTACAACTTTATCATTATAGTAATTAATGCTGTTAAAACAAATTAAATCGACATATACAGGTCTACAACTGCATAACAAAGGGATATATTTTCTAGGAAAACGTAAATGAATCAAAAGTCTTTACAAACAAAGGTGTCCAATTCTAGCACTAACAAGAAAGATATTTGATTTCAATTGAGGAAATTTGTTAGAAACATTCGCTAAAAATTTATCTACGATTTGACATAAATCAAAATATCAACAATAATTTTTTGTTTTCAGTTCATTTCTATTAAATTACGTGGTTTTTGTTAAGCTATCAGTATACACAGACATGTAATGCACACAATCAACGTATATGATGAGTTTTGTAAAATTATAAGGATATTAGTATTGAGAGCATCTGATGTTTAAGTTTTTAAAGGACTTAATAGTAATAATAATACCTGCATAAAAGATACATCCCCCCCCCATAAAAAACTTTAAACAAACAATCATATATCTTGAAGACTTTTCCTATAAATGTACTATACAAATTTTCCACCAATTAAGAAAACAAAGATTAATCTTGTTTTATTATCTAAATATTTTTTTCTTCTAAAAATGCTGAAAAATTCCCGGAACTGTGATTTTTTTTTAAAGACTCAACAACATCTTTATTTTAAATAACTTCAAACAAATAAAAAGCATCCATTGTTTGGAAATTACCTGGTATCAATTCCTCTTGATCATGATGACTTCCGCTTTCTTAAAAAAAAAAGAAAAGGAATATTCACTATAGAATGTAAGCCATAAAACTGAACTGCTTTAAGTTCATTTTGATATTGATGATCATTAATCATGCAAGGAATTTGGAAACACTTAAAAGATTTTTTTTCCACACATGAGGTTATCAAGCTAGAAGCTAGTTTTTGAAAGATTATGGATTACCTTCATGATCACGAGACTTCTCTTGTTGATCAGTCTCTTTGAATTTACTGGCAGTTTCTTCGTTGAATTGATAATAATAAAAGTTATTATTACAAGAGGACAATGAGCCAAATCCCTCACCTGAGCACATTTGCTGGGCAAAAGCACTAATCAGTTCAGTATTGAAAAGGTTGTGTGGGGGATATGAACATTAAACTTCCTGATGATTCTTCCATATTAATATAACAAAAAGCTTTGTTGTTCTAAATACAACTAATCACGGTTCTGTTCTTGAGAAGATTTTTAAAAAAGAGTTTGCCTCAGATAAATTCCTGTGTAAAAACTTTAATTGTCCATTGTGGCCAAGCTCTATCCTTAAAGGTCATGATTTAAAAAAAAAATCATAAAATTTACACTAGCAGAGGATGCTTCCAGATGAGTTTATTTTTCCTGATCTATTGGTTTCTTGAGAAGATTATTTTTTAAAAAGCCATCGATTTGTTTTACTTATTTGTGATTTTCTTCCCTTGAAAGAAAGCGTGAGCCTATATTTGAAGCGAATTTAATATTTTTACCGTAGATACTCTATGCCATGTTTGAAAAAAAGTTGAAGATGTGAAAAGTTGACGACAATGCCAACAAAGGCGATAGGGACATTGAGAGAGAACGAATAATTTTGATCAAAAATCTCACTTGAGCTGTTGGCTCAGTTGAGCTAATAGTAAAAATATAAGCATTATCATCAATCAATTTATTGTTTTTGTCTTTTTATTATTGATTATATGTTTTCTTAATTACGTCCTGTTCGAGAAATATTCAGTCTGATAGAAACTTTTTTTTTCCATGTTTTATTTTGCATACATGGAATTTCAGTTTAAGAATTCTTAACAAAATTTTTAATAACGTACATGTTTATCATCATAATAAACAATTATACCTTAAAGAGATTTGACATTAAATTAAATTTAAATAAACATACGATTAAGGTGGGTTGTCCCATAAGCAGGAAGTTTTTTACGTACTGATGCACATTGTGCTGTAAGAAAAAATATCAATTTATGCATAAAACGTTAACAAATTAAAGTAATTTTAAAAAAGCATTTGTAGATAAACATGTAATATATAACAGCAAATATGAATGAGATACTGTATTATATAGTATTATAATGACATATGCGTTTGTATTTTCACAGTAAATATATTTAAATGTATTTTGGAAACATCCTAATATTTGATTTGCAGTATGTTTAAAATTGAACACGACTCGAAAACAGGCAAACGCCGACATTCGCTATAACTCTGTTCTATACGGAAACACCGGGGTATACTCCTTGCGTTATATATGACTGTTATGCAAATTATCCCATGTTTCCCGATATCGGTGATACCCTGGTATACTATTATAATATTAACTAGACAGTGATCCTTAAGACAATCTCAAATACTCACCATGGGTATGGTATTCGTCCGGAGAATCTGCAAAGCAGAAAACATCTTGATAGTTTTTAAATCAGAAGAGAAAGAGCATAGAGAGAAAGCCAATCTAATATTACCTCATAAAAACTTTTCACTTAAATAAATACATTTATCTGTGGCAGCTGTTAAACTTTTTTGTTAGTACAATTTTGTAATAAAAGAAGTGATTCAATAATTTATTACTAGTTACCAATGTTTTCTACATATAGTGATTGATTGTGTATTATTTAGCGTGTCTTTCGGGGAGTTTTCAGATTTTTCACTCATTTATGAAGACGCCACCACTTGCCGGTGGAATGTTGCAAATTTTGGCCTAAACTTTGCATTCGGGGCCATTCAGCAAGGGAGGACCTTTTTTCGTGCAATTATTGCACCTACTTCGACACAGGACCACGGTTTATACAGTCTCAACCGAATGACTGTTATCCGCGTCCCACAGAGGGATTCGAACCCGCGACGTAAGGATTGACTCCTTACATGTACTTAGCGACTCAGAGCGCAGAAGCTTTAGCCACTCTGCCACGCAGGCGACTCTTCTAGATAGAAGATACAAGTATATGATTAAACAGCACTTAAAACTAAAGAGACGGAATACAAGATTTATCAAAATACACAATTGTTTTAGACAAGAAAACAAAGACCCCATGCATAGGCATTCATGTGCATGCACATGCTTGCTTAAATTTGTGAATATTTTGGTGTAGTTTGGAGAAAACGTACATGTAGTAAAATTCTAAAACTTACACAGCTTGCTTAATTGTATGAATCTTGAAAAGAAATCAAGTCCCAAAAGGGAGTTGAGGAGCGCAGTGGCTATTTCTTTATTGTTACATGTACACATGCATGCTAAAGCAGTACTAATATCATTTTCCGGCTAATTTAGACTTTTTCATAAAATGTAAAATTGATAAATCGGATAAGCCATAGATATCATATTTAGTATTTTCATACTTTGCATTTGTGTCTTAAATTAAAAGAAAAATTCAAGTCTGCTATGACGTCACCTCGTGACGTCTACAAATAAATAGATTGCCTTAATGAAATAGTGAACAGTGTAACAATTTCCCGGGAAAAAGTCATTTCTTTTTTGTAAAAATGATTAAATAAATTATGCAAAACAACAATGGGTCAATCTCACCATTTTTTTTTTGTCCAAAGTATTGATTTTTATCAATAACAATAGATTCAAACTGGAAAATAGTTTGAAGCATTAAGCGTTCCTAACTTTTCAGAAAAGAATATTATGTCTAATCATGATTTGAAGGTAGATAGAAATATCAATATTTTTTTTTTATCTCACACTAAAATCTAAAGTAGGAGGGATACATGAAAATAACGTTAAATGTCTTTCCTATCGAATTCTGATTAAAATCACAATGAAGCGTTGCTTTTTAAATCAGAATATCAAATTATTATTAGTGCTTGTAAAATAATGAGTATCAATCAGCAAGAGTTATCTTCCTATTATCGCCCTTGGAAATATTTTTTGTGAAACAAAATAATTCAATGTTAATGAACAATCTCGCATCTGTTTCTGAAACAATTAAACGACTTGTAATAGAAATATCTCAATTTTTCACAATTTAAAGAAACATAAAGTTTTGCATCTGATATTTTTGAAGCATTATTTCATAGTAAGAACCTAGGGGTGTGAGCCGAGTCAAATGCCCTCACGGATTTTGTCGCTCTGTAAGCATTTCGGAAATTTCATAGTTGTACTATTTACCGAAACATTTAAACTTTGTACAGCACTGTCCAAATGACAATATCTATACGTTTACAGTATTTTTAACGTGATGCTTTTCATATTGCGTGTTGATTGTTCTATCAAATAATTATGTCTTCAGGGTTTGGGAGATAGTACGCTTTACCTTTCCTTTTAACTGTTTTTGGATACAGAACAGTCATATCGCGCTGGCTACCCATGATTGAATTTGTTTGCATTTTAATCGTGTAATATAGTCTTGAACTAAATGCATTTAAAATGTTATATACACATGTAGCATGAAAACATGTTTATTATAGGAAAAACATTAATTGACCTTAAATAAATTCATCATCTTATCTATTCATTTTGTTTTTTGTGAAAAAATATGTTTATCTAATTTTAACCTGAACTTTAAAAAATCGTGATTCGAACATTCGCGACAGGTAACTGGGTGCTTCAACTCCGCCGCTATGACTACTGAGCCACGAAGTCGCACATACATTTCCCTTTAAACAGCAAACAGTTCTATATGTATAGCAAACGCACAACTGGACGTAGAATTTTTGAGAATATGTTGCGAAATTTAAGTAGGTAAACTAACTTTTTTATATAGAGTGGGTCTTCGTACCATTTTTTTGAAAATGGTGAGAGATACATTCTTTCATACCCTTTGAATATTTGTTTACAAAAAAATGGTACAAACACCCACTCTATATAAAAAACATAGTTTTAACATTCCATTTCTATCATTTTTACGGTCACTAAAGCGTATAACCATTTTGGCGGGTTAATTACAATCAATTTGTAAGTCATTTGATTCAAGTTTTATCTTTACTGTATACATATGGTTATAAATAACTCCCAAATTTAACAAAAAGTGTAATTTGCAAGATTTTATTTAATCGATATTTTACTTGCCCTTGCGTAGGCATATGACTCGCCTAATCCATCCAGATTCTTTGCTTTGACTTTTTTACTTACATTAACATGACTAATGTGAACTTTGACCAGTCTGATTATTTATAGTACTTTGATGAGATGTTGCCGTAAACAATTGGTAAAAATAAGATGTCTTAAACCCTCTGCTCGGAAAGTCTTATTAGCAGCAAATAATGAATATTGGCAAGAAACATTAAGAGATTATTCTAATAAATTGACATATATATATATATATATATATATATATATATATATATGTAAGATATACATGATGTTAAGATTCCGTTGTTACAACATGTATTGTTGAATATGTAAAATTTAGGAAATTCCCACGGCTTTATATCATTATTCAAGGAAGGACATGGAGATAACGAACAGTGTTCAATCTCAAAGTCCATAAAACAATACAAACTAGTGCTAATTGTAACGGGGACCGTTACAGATGTTCCCCAAACGCTCCCCAACTCCCTTTTGGTGCCATATTCCCTGTAATCTCTATTAGATAAGAAATACTTTATGGAATTTAGACTTAATCAAGGTCTCCCCAGAAAAATACAAAATATATTTAAAAATAGGCATTGCACGCATGTTCATGTGCATAACGACCATATTATCTTGTCTACACTATCTCAAATTTTAATATACTTAATACAAAGCATTTAATCCAAAAGTATTAAAAAATACACTCATTCGAGTGTATTTTTAATTTTACTCATTTCACGTGCACGCACGCGCAAGCACGTGCATAATGACTACACCTTCTTGTAGGAGTCCCTTATATTTATCTATGTTCTAAATCCAATCCTGTTTGGTTGAAAAACAAGGGAGTTATAGCCATTTGAAGTTTCAGCCAATCAGATTACAACACACATGCATGCGTGTGATTTTATAAATTTTTATCTTAATCGTATTGAAAGATATCTAAATGAATGACTATATTTAAAATTTGAAACATTTCGTCAAAAAACAAAGGAGATATAGTCATATAAAGTTTCAGCCAATCAGATTGCAGCACACGTGCATGCGCGTGATTTCATTATTTTTTTTCTATATCATATTTTAGGATATCCCAATGTATGACTATGTTTTACATGTAAATTACAAAGCATTTCGTCAAAAAACAAAGTAGATATAGCCATTTAAAGTTTCAGCCAATCAGATTGCAGCACGCGCGCATGCGCATGCTTTCATGAAAATTTGTATATATCATGCTGTAGATAAAGATGTAGGACTATGTTGAAAATTTCAAAAGATTATGACAAGAAACAAGAAAGATATTAAGACTTTAGTTTCAGCCAATCAGAGCGAAGCACACGTGCATGCGCGTGAGATCTTGCTATTTTGACCATGCCATCTTGTCTATACTACTAATGTATCCTTACATTATGAGTTTCAAAAAAATTCATCACGAAAAAGAAAAGTTAGAGCAATATCCATTATATTGGTCATTTTTCGTGTTGCACGTGCGCGCTCTTGCAAGCACGTGCGCGCAAAATGACCTTCGTTCGGCAAATCTACATAACATGTCTACTGACCCTAAAAACATTTTACCTTAGTCGGATGTGTAGTTTACAAGATCACTCGTGGACAAAATTTTCCCAGGAAGAAGAAAAATAATAATAATAATAATGATAATAATAATAATAAGAAACAGAGTAAAAACAATATGTTCCCCAACTTCGTTTGGGGAACATAAATAGGAGCAGAGCCAACACGGACCTCCCTAACATGAGAGGTGGGAACCGGTGACATAAAGGAGTGAGCAACACCTGTTGACCGGTCACACCCGCTGTGTGTCCCTTTCATGTTCAGAAATAAACGGAAAAATCCGTCGTCAATTCAGTGTATAAATAATAGACTTGCAATCAGTATGAAAAAACGTCAGTCAGCTTTTGATCATTATTCAATTATCGAATAGTACATGCATTAGAAAATGCTTCAAATGCGTTACCGGTCGGACTTTGCGTGTTTGTTTGACATAATAAAAATATGTTTAAAGAAAACAAGTGCAAAAATTAAACATGTCAAAGTGGTTACAATATGTAGATTTTTTATTGATTGCAATTGCTTAATATATTAAAAATAAAGCATAAAGACGTATTTCATGGTTATTTTATCAAAGCATATTGAAAAGTAATGTAATAACTAAAAAAAATACTAGTAGTCGTTCTCACATATTACAAAAATCAAACTCTCAATCTTTATTTATAATTCAGTGATATTTGTGAACAAATAATGCACACACTTGCATATAACAAATCCCACAAGTAATGAAATCATTGTTTTTCTTTATAATTTCAACAACCTAAGATTTATGGGGACACAGATAGGACGCTAGGTTAAGTTCGGAGGA